GTGAAAGTGACATTATTTGTGTGAATGAGTTGCGAATGGATAGGAATGCATTTGCTATTTTGTGAGTTGCTAAAAACACGGGGTGGACTATTAGATGATGGTAACGTGACAATTGAAGAACAAGTTGCTACATTTGTAAACATTTTAGCACATTACACCAAAAATAGATGTCTTCAAGTTAGATTTTATAGGTCGGGGGAAACAATTAGTAGGTATGTTCATCGAGTTTTAAGTGCTTTGTTGCGATTACAAGACATTTTGTTTAGCAAACCAACTCCGGTAGAGGATGATTGTACCGACAGAAGATGGAAGTGGTTTAAGGTAATCCTTGTTAGCTTCTCTCATTACATGTGATATAAATTTTTTACCATTTAGCTAAAATCAAGTTATTTTCTTTATAGGGTTGTCTAGGAGCAATAGATGGAACATACATTGAAGTGACTGTACCCGAGTCTGATAAACCACGATACCGAAAAAGAAAGGGTCATATTGCGATTAATGTATTAGGTGCATGCCCTCGGGACATGAAATTCATCTACGTTTTATCTGGTTGGGAAGGTTCAGCTACCGATTCTAGGGTACTACGAGATGCTGTTACACGAACTAATGGTTTAAAAGTCCCAATGGGTTCTTACTATTTGGCTGATGCAGGATACGTCAATGGTAACGGATTTTTGGCACCATATAGAGGTACTAGGTATCATTTACGAGAATGGGAACACATGTTAAAACATTCTTCCTTATTTGAAGGTGTATGACCAATGTGTTCCCATTCTCGTAAATGATACCTAGTACCTCTATATGGTGCCAAAAATCCGTTACCATTGACGTATCCTGCATCAGCCAAATAGTAAGTACCCATTGGGACTTTTAAACCATTAGTTCGTGTAACCGCATCTCGTAGTACCCTAGAATCGGTAGCTGAACCTTCCCAACCAGATAAAACGTAGATGAATTTCATGTCCCGAGGGCATGCACCTAATACATTAATCGCAATATGACCCTTTCTTGTTCGGTATCGTGGTTTATCAGACTCGGGTACAGTCACTTCAATGTATGTTCCATCTATTGCTCCTAGACAACCCTATAAAGAAAATAACTTGATTTTAGCTTAATGGTAAAAAATTTATATCACATGTAATGAGAGAAGCTAACAAGGATTACCTTAAACCACTTCCATCTTCTGTCGGTACAATCATCCTCTACCGGAGTTGGTTTGCTAAACAAAATGTCTTGCAATCGCAACAAAGCACTTAAAACTCGATGAACATACCTACTAATTGTTTCCCCCGACCTGTAAAATCTAACTTGAAGACATCTATTTTTGGTGTAATGTTCTAAAATGTTTACAAATGTAGCAACTTGTTCTTCAATTGTCACGTTACCATCATCTAATAGTCCACCCTGTGTTTTTAGCAACTCACACAAAATAGCAAATGCATTCCTATCCATTCGCAACTCATTCACACAAATAATGTCACTTTCACGTGTGATGCGTTGGATTTCTATCGATCTAATTTGTAATCTAGTGAATGTTCTTTGCCTTAAACTTCTCCTCCGATCTTGTCTTTGTTCATATTCAATTAACCAATTCGCAAAATTG